CCCCAGTCTTCAGCTCCCCATCCCCTCTCATCGAATCTGCTCTTCCTTTTCTTCTCACCATCCTCCAACGGGGTCCCCCTGTCCTCCTCGTCCCATCATCCCTACACCCTACCTTCCTCCATCCTCCTTCCCTCTGCCCATCTTCCTCCTCCTCCGCAGTGCCGTCATCCCTCCTTTTTCCCTCCCTGCAGTCTGCCTCATCACTCCTCCTCCCACTTATCAATCCTCTTTCTTCTGGCTGCCTGGGTGTGCTGAGGAGGAGTCCAGCAGCCTCTGTGAGGGGCCCAGCTCGACTGGGGCACTCAGCCTCCCCGTCCCACTCCGGGCTTACCTATTCCCAGCTTGGAACTTGGAGACTAGGCTGCCCATTCGGGAGGGGGTGGCTAGAGCGGAAGGACCAGTCACTTAGAAGGAAAAGAGGAGCCCGAAGAGGACAGAGAGAGCTGGGGGACTAGGGCACTTGTGTTCTACTGGAGATAAAATAACGCCTCCAGGGAGAGACCTGGGACGCATGGGTCCCCGCGAAGTGGAAGTGATGATAGGATGGGAATCTAGACGGTGGGATTCAGGGTTCAGACAAGCCCTTGAAGTCATAGGACAGACAAACTCTCGAACGACAGCGCCTTGGGGAAGGCACAGGAACTCCTGGGTGTAGAGGTCAGGAAGGTATAGGGCATTGCCTTAGCGAAGGGAACTAAAACCTTGGGTCCGGGGTCAGTTGAGATGAGGATAGCACCTCAGGCTTCAAAGGCACAGGGACACCCGGATGCCAGGTTAGGGCACTGAGGACACAGCCCAGGGAGACGGAGTGCTTGGAACTCTGACCTTTTAATGGAAACCAAATTAGAAGCCTTATGAGAACTGGTTCAGGCGGAGGCGGGAGGCCAGCCCACCCCCCGGGGCAGGCACCGGGCCGCCTGGGTTCTGGGGAAGATGAAAGCCCTTTAAGGACTGGGAGCTGGGACACGAGTTCCGGATTCTGTTGGAGACGGAAGGATAATCCTCTCCTCACTCCCTCAGGCACTGGGACGCCAGGGTTCTGGAGAAAATAAGATAGGAGTCTTTTGAGGACAGAACCTTGGGATGCTTGATTCAGGGTCAGGCAGAGATGGCGAGGATAGCGCCCAGGACTAGGTACTGGGACGTCTGGGTTGTAGGGAAGGTAAGATGGGAGCCCTTTGAGGACAAGGAGGTGGGACGCTTGAATCCTGGATTCTGTCAGAGATGGGAGGATAATCCTCTGTCCAACC